GTCTCCACGTCCCACAGTGGGATTCGAACCGGCGACGTAAGGATCAACTCCTTACTCCGCGACTCTAGAGCAGACGCTCTAACCACTGCGCGAATAAATGTAAATAATAATAATAATGTATATTTATTTATTGTCTGCTTTAAAAAACACTGCAAGATGTTCTTTTTGTATTTACATTTTTCTCATGTATAAATATAAACCTTAATGTACATTATCCTTTAATTTAGATACAATTGTAAGATAATAAGTCAAATCAATTTGTCGACCCGGAAACAGCTGATGATTTTCGGTTAAAGAGTGATGAAAATCAGTCAAAAATGCTTATATATTCAATTAAGTTCCAACAAATGAAAACATATGTTTCAAACACAGTCACACAGGAAAAAAGTTACTTTAAAAACGTAATAAAACCTACATTGGTCAATTAAGAAAGATTTCAAAACTGTGGAAAAATATATTTTGGCAATGGAAAATTTCCTCATTCCTCATATAAAAGTTTACGTAGTGGACTCATCTGGTTTTATTTTAAACTCAAATACCTGCCATTCTTTATCGGGGAAAATGTTTAAAGACAATGTAGAATGCGTGTACAGAAATCACCTACGCTAACATTGAAAATAAAACTCCTGAATAACGTGTTCAATGACTTTATCTTGTTGAAAATAACTTTTATCTTTACCAATAAATATCTATACATATTTCTACTTTTACTGCACTCTAACAACCTTCAAATTATCTCTTATTGCGCAGTGTTACGAACTTCCTGAATGACGTCGTTGGGAGACTTGAAACTATGGTGTCTTATGAAATTTCATAACTCCTGAAGTATATCAGGGGTTGACTTCTCACTGTTCAAACAAAATAAGACCTTTTTTGTAAGTTGTGATTCAGTTTCAGCATACTATTACCTAGAAACCCAGTTGTAATTCATGAAAGTACCTGCGACGTATTATATACTTTATAAGTTAATAAGTGCCACTTTCATGCTACAAGAAGTTTATTGCATGGAATTTTAATAATAGGATAAATCTGAATTCAAATGTCTCTACTAATAATACCACTGCAATTTCAATTTTTTTTATTGAAGTACAAGGCTATTTTAAATACTGCAGAAAAGGAGCTTCTTAAAAGATTTAAATATTCACATAAGCAATATAGCTCATAGGCATAATTTAATAGTCTTAAGAATAAGAGAGAAAATGAATTCAATATAATTTATCATAAATATTTATAACTTGGAGGGGTTAAAGGTTAAAGGCAAAGAAAGCATCATATATATCAAGTGTTTGACTTACAAGTCATCAGAACTTTGGAAGACTACTTTGCAGAGTGAAATGTTGTTTTCCCTGGGAGCATGCGCAGTCCTCATCTATGCAGTACACTATGTCTGTCATGGTGCTGAGGTACATCTTTAAGCTTATCATAAGTCTCTTATATATAATTTTGTTTATCAAATTTTAAGCAGTCATGAAACAAATAAAACAATAAAAGATTTTGTTTAGGAAAAATTAAAGGAAAACAAAAAGGCTTATAGCTTTTTAGATATTTCATATTAGGTTTCATAACTTCGTAATTGAAGGTACATGCTACAATCAATTTTAAGTTGACGTATAGTTTGGTATATTTATATCTTTGGATTTATTTAAATATAATGTAAATCATATACGGTACCAATTTTGATGAAGAAAATGGGTGAATTCAAAAAAATGACCAAACGCATATTTATCAACCCACACTAAAAATACAGGAAATGAAAATAGATTTCTAGGTCTCAGCATATGTCTTTAGATAGTGTCTAAATACCTGCCAAATATCTCATTGATATCTCAGTTAACAAAAAAGTTATGCCCAAAAATGATGCTAAAATTGTCAGGAGTGCAACACCTTTTTGTGACATTTTGAAATTTCAATATTTTTTGGAGATCTGTGAAATAAATAATAATGCTTTATGTTGAAAATAAAGACTTTCCTGATAATATTCAAAGTATTGAGCTTTAAATGTGGACTGTAGTAACTTTTGTTTAATCAAATTGTGGTCATGGCTGATGTTTAAAAAATGTTATACCATGTCAGGAGTGCAACAGAAAAAATGTAGTGATGCCAAAAAACATCAACTGTAAAATTCTGAAAGAAAATAAAGACAAAAAAGAATTTTCGAAGTATAAAACATTTTAAAACATAAATATGTTATATAAATCACAAGCAGCATTAATGAGAGTCAAGTATATGTGCATACCCAATAATGTCAGGAGTGCAACATTTGATGTTTTGCTGCCAAGCATGAAAAAACTATTACCATTATATGATTTTCTGATCTTTATTTTGGAATATAAAGACACAAAGAATATTTTTACCAAATAGATTTATCAATTACAGGATCTGTCTGTGCTTCAGATCTATATTTCTATGGTCAGGAGTGCAACGCATTGTTTTAAAGATTCAAGTTGTGTGACGAAAACACTTCTATCCATGCTTAGAAGTATTTATTAATTAATAATGATCTTTTTTATATAATTTAATACTGAATTATAGACAGTTTTATTATTAAAATCCTTCCTTTTTCAATTTCATCAATTCAGATGTGTTTTTATCTTTTTTGTGATTTTTTTAATGAATGTTAAAAACGAACACACTAAATCATTGTCATAAAATTTAAGTAATTCCTCCTCAACTTCACTGAAACAACAGAACAAGTTCTTATGTAATTTTCACTTCACAACTTTAAAGGCCCCAGTGCTTTTGGTCAGGAGTGCAACAAATATGTTAGAATTATAAATCATCAAATAAGAATAAAAATAAAGAAAAAATGATGAGTAGAATTTTTCTGGTGGGTTACTGTGTTTGTCCTCTAAAGGAAAATATGCTATAAAATACATTTTATCTTCTAAATATACATTTAAGCTAGTTTTTTGGCATAAATAGGGCATAATTCCAAATAAAATGTGAATTTTAAATACTTTCATCTGTTTTTATAATGAAGTATTGGACTATAAATATTGCACAGTTTCATTACCACTTGATGTTGCTAACACTTTATGAATTTTTGTGTTTTATGGTTTTGATTTTTAATTTTACTGCAGTCAGGAGTGCAACAAAACTGATTTATTATTACCAATGCTTTTTAACTATCTTTACTAAAAAAAAATAAGTTGAAAAAAATGTTTGATACTATTTGATGTTCAAAACACTATGTCTATCAACAACTTGCAGAAATCTTACAGTCAATTCAGGGAATAGTTTTCATCATTTCACATATATTTTTAAATACAATTTATATATATTACTTTTTTGCAAATAATCGTGTTTTAAGGTCTTCAAAATATGAAAAATCTGCCGTAAACGATGAAAAATATCAAAACAACAAAGTGATTTACAAAGTAAGAATGGGTTATTGTGTGTTATAATTTTAAAACAATGTTAAATTATATATATATATCAGATGTCAGGAGTGCAACACAATAATGTGACATAGGGTCACTTCAAAATTTAGTATTTTTTGTAAGAGAACTTGTATATAAAAATTCTTTTTGGCTTAGATTTAAAGCAGTGAGTTGAACGAAAAAAAAGTGAATTTTGGGGAATTTTATTGCTTCATATTTTTTTTTCATATTAAAACTTTGCAAACCAGAATTGAAAAAAATAATATAAAATTACAATCAAAAAGCCATTTTTTGTCACATATACAAGAGAAAATACCCAATCAAGGTCTAGATTTAATCACTTATTACCCCTTTTACTATTTTGAAGCATAAAAAACTATAATTTCTTGTGATAATGTATTTTAGAAAGTCTTTTAAGGTGTAATGATATTTTCTTTTTTCAAAAGAAATTTTACTGATAAAAATTATGAAACTTTTTTATCCAATTGTCTATTCTATTGCCACCTCAGGATTTTAAACTAGAATGCATGTGCAATATGATGATATAAGTGAAAAATATGTTATAAGTAGTTGAATTTTTCCAAAAAAAAATTCAGTTTGGTGGTCATTTTTTTTTATTCACCCAAATGTCAAATTCCTCAAATATTTAGAAACTGTATATTATCTATTATGTTCAAATATATTTTGTTCCTCTTAAAATTCTATAATATTTTTTTTCTGTAACTTTACAGATCATTATTGAAAAATCTTGAAAAAGGCTTTAATGTGGCAAAATGTATTTATTTGATTCATAACCATTAGATTGGTGTCTCATTTCGTCATTACTATCAAAAACGTGTTTTTAGCTAGTTTTCCCCTTGGAAACAAAAACATTCCAGATTCCATCTTGCCTTACTTTCTTTTTATTTATTTTTTGTATATTCACATATTATTTCCAATTTTTACACTATTGATATCGAATTTCAGAGATTTTAAGCATTGAAATATCAGAAAAAGTGCTAAAGTAGTGCCATAGAAAATCAAAGTATCATAAATTCACTACAGCTATAACTATAGAAAACTATAATTAACTATAGTTAACTATATTAAATTTTTGTTAGGGTAAATTTCTTCTAACCGAAACTTTAATTAATAAAATCTATCGTTTTTCAACGCAGAGTATACCTAATCCTTTCTTTATTAGGTCAGATTGTCTGGCTTCACCTTGCATTGTGAATTATTTATATCTCCTTGACCATCGCTGGACAATACGAATGAATAAACAAAGAAAAAAAACCCAGTTTTCTCGCTCAAATGTATCTGATGCTAGTTGAATTTTTAACACCGATTAATTATATATCTCAACTTTAGAACAACGTAACTATGTATAGCCTTGTTTGCATTACGAGTCAAATATGTCAACGAATATTTGTGCATCGTGTAAACTTTGCGACACGTAAAATGTAAAATCTTAAATAATAGAGAACCCTGTAATAGATATTACTTTCTTTCTAAATTATCTTCTTTTAATGTGCGAATTAGAAGTAAATAAAAACAACTGTTAAAGTAGGTTTTTCATACATTTGTTCAAAAGAATATGATGTATGCGTACAAAGCAAACTGTGTTTAACACTTTTTCAGCTGTACGGAAATAAAAAGATACCTGAATCAACCTTAAAGTCTTTGTTTGAAAGAGATATTGGTAAGCTTCTGTTTTCCACATTGCTACCATAATTAACGGACACCTATTTTCATTGTGTATCAATTTATTTATCTACCTTATTTTTATTCTTTTACCTGATTTTGTGTATTGGTCATTCCAGAGGAAATGGAAGCGGTTGATATTTCTAGTTTAAAGGAGGTTAGCCATGACAAAAGACGGTAAGGGGAAAAACTTTATTTGGTTAATTTATCAGTTTGTAATTCTGATTTCCCGGGATGAGAACTATTTCAAGAGCTCATAGATCCTTCATAGGGGAACTAGAATCTTGCTTTCCTATTACACGGAATATTTTAATTATAAATTTCAACAAGTTGATGAAACAAGGTTATCACTGGTCTCGTTTGAAGTCATCATTTTGCAAGTTTTATGGTCGACACAATGACCTTATCAGCAAATACAACCTATCATTGAGTCAAATGCTGACTAAAGTTTTGTCATACTGATTGTTAGGCCATTATTTACAAACTAAATTGTCTACGTATTTTTTCGTTTTCCCGATCATAAGAAGGAGCATATGGCAAGTGTGACCGGTTGGCAGGGGATGCTCATGTCTCAATGGCATTTGATCCCACCTCTGGTGTTTTGGAGGTCCGTGTTTGCTCTGCTCCCAATTTGCATTGTTATCTCCATATTTCATTATACCTTTAAAAGGTTGCATTCTTTGTTATCTTTGCCCACAGTGTCAGTAATTGGCAAATAAAAAGATTGGTTGGTGTTTACCATGAAATTGATTTTTTTTTAAAAATCTCCTTTTGGGAGATAATGGTGGATTCAAGTACATTTGGATATTGCTTTCATAGGAAAATCAAAAGAACTATATGATATTATTTTATAAACAATGAGCATCCCTATCTCTTGTTCCCCAGATCTTTAAATTACCTAACTGTTTAGTTAAATATATTTGCAGATTTGAGTCTTATAAACTGTTTTTTTTTTAATTTGTAAGTTTACATTTGTAAATATGATGCTTTATGTAATTTTGGAAATGACAAATTTACAGAGATTAATTTTTTTTTTACCGTGTCTTTTACTGAAAAGAAATTGCTCTTTTACAGGAGAAAACCTACATGAAATACCAAAAGGTATTTAACAACATCTGCAAAAGATTTTTTTAATTTTTAGATCTAATATTCGAAATACTAGAGGGTTATCACCAACAGAACTCATTTTGTCAGCTTTTGGTGAGGATTATCAGTTACAAGTATCTAAACCGGAATCCGTGTTGCACCCGGAAGCCAGAATTGTAACCAGGAATGATGACGGCGACCAAGAGTGGAAGGGAATTATTCCGGATTGCTTTTTGGTCGGTCATGTGACCTCACACAACGGCACTGCTTCCCTGTCACATTGTGAAGGCTTGGTATGTCAATTAAATATTTACTTATTATGCTTCTTAAAGAAGATGTAGTTGAAATTTTAAATCTCGATAAAAATAGAAAGTCATTTTTACATACAGAGTATAAAAATAGCAAGCAATGATTTATAAAGCATATTGATTTTAATAAAATTTTCAGAAGCATGCTTAGATAAAATAGATCCGATATTGAAATTCCTATGAGGTTCATAAAAATGCAATGAATTTAATGAATAAGTAGTATGCTTTCATCAAATTCATAATCTGCGACAAAAACCAGAACCAAAGATTTTCTACAGGAAAGTTATCATCTGTGCAACTAATATTCTCCACAGAAACACTGTAAAACAAATCTCAATTGACTTGCGCAAACAATAGCATACAGCAGCATCACTTTTATTCACATTTTAAAAGCTTTCTTGCATCATTTTTTGAATTTTTTAGAAAGGATCACTAACCACACGATCTGGAGATTTCCAGTTGAGAGAACTTCCCAAAGTTCACAATAAAGGACTCAATTTCTCAGACGAAGATACCGTTCTTGTGATTGGCAAAATGAGACCACAATACAAAACCGGTGGGGCAAGTGTGAATGTCAAAGGTGACACAATATATTTCACCCATTTATTATATTTTTAGAAATTGACAGTTTCGTGTTCCCTTTGTTTTATCGGTGATATAGTCCACCAGTTTTCTATTGAGTTAATACCAAACTGAATATATAGCATTCAGTTTTTTTATGTAAAATTCGTAAGTAAATCAAATGAAAAACGCAAGAAATGAAATGCAAAAAATCCTTTTACAAAATCTTGTTAGATGTCAGTCTTTCTGCACTGGATGACCAAATAAGAAAACTTAAGGACAAATATAGAAGACAGACCACCACAAAGGATGTCGTTGTTGAACTGGCGGTGTACACAGACAGCAAATACACAGAACGACTTCGATTCAAGGACACTGCCAGGAGAGTTGAACTTATGATCGTGAAATATAATGGGGTACGAAATCTTATTGCTTGAATATATTAAGATATAATAGTAAAACGTGATAATTAATTTATATAATATTTGCTCTAAATATTTCCCTTGTAAAACGCCATTAGAGCGATGCATATTTAAACCTGAATTTCATAACCACAGATTCATTGTTTTTTAAAAGACGTAATTTCACAGTGAAGTCATATGTGGTCGGGACGTTCAACACATTCAACTTATACGGTTGAGGTTTCAAAAATCATAAATCTATAACACGCAAATATTTCTTATAAATCAGCCATAAATGTAAATATAATAATAAGATTTGTGGAATTTGATGACTAATCCGTATTTACATTTCGATAAATGTTTAAAATGTTACCCTATTTATCAATCACCTGCTACTAATTATACAGCAATAAATGCTGTCACTTTTAACTATGACTTTACTTAAATTGATTTAGGTACAAATGGAGTATTCTAGATCAGATGCTCTCGGTTACAACGTAAAAATCCAGATTAAATATTTTGGTTTTTGGGAGAAAGATCCGGTAATGATTTTTTACTATTTCATTAACCAAATATTTTCTAATATATATATAATTTTCTTAATTAATGTGTATACTTCAAATTTTGCGATAATTAAATAATAATTAATTAATAATAATTACGTAAATTTTGATTTTCTAATTACAGTCCTTTTACACAACATATTATCACATTGGTAAAACCATGGAGTCATTTTGTATAGGCATGCGCAACATTCCAGTAAAATACGATATCTTATTTATACATAGCGGGTATGTATATGTTTTAGCCTACCTGAATGAAAATGGAGACTTGTAATCAAGCTAAACGGTCCAAAGAAAGTACAAATCGGGACCAGAGCAAATATGGGCCTCTAAAAAAAGGGGTTGTATCAGGTGCCATGAAGGAGTAAGCATCACCTGTCGACCGGTCACACCCTCCATGGGCTCCTTATAATAATCGGGCAAACGGGAAAAAAATTGTAGACAATTCAGTGCGTAAATAATGCCCTCATAATCAGCATGAAATATCAGTCAGCAATTGACTTAATGATAGATTGAATTTGCTGACTAGGTCATAGTAACGACCATAGAACTTGCGAAAAAATAATTTAAACAAAACTGTTGATATTTTTGTTACATCAACTTTTTGTCAATAGCTTGCATCGTTTTAGAAATTGTTTTTACGAAGAGGATACTGAACTAAACATCAAGTAAGGTTTTCTTATGTTCTGTTGTCAGGCGATGTACTCGTTCGTCCATCTTTAACCCCCACAACCTCACAATTTTTTTTTATCTTTTTTCCGAACCACTGGGCAAATTTCAATCAAATTTGAGACAAAACATCTTTGTGTAAAGGTTATTCAGTATTTAACAAAAGAAGAGCCAAACTATTTTTTAAGGAAGATGGGAAAAAAACTTTTAAAATCTTTTTTAAATAATCGCAGATTCAAGTAAAAATGGTGAGCGATGTGGTTCATGAGCCTCTTGTTTCTCAACAAGGAAAACAATCTTCGACTCACGGAATCTAATGTTTAATGCAAAACAATACTGTTGCTTGTTAATGAACTTCAAGCAATATACCCTCATAGAACAAGTTATAAAAAAACATTATTGAAAATAGCAATTCCTGAAATTATCATTTAGTATTTTTCCATTGTCAACTTTCCTTATTTATGTAGTAGTAGAGATTGTTCTATCTGACGTATCCGTATACGTATCGAGGTGAGAGAGGCATCTCGATCCCGATGATTTAACCGTTGGGTAACATTTCCATCGTTTCTGTTTGATTTTAACCTCATTCATTGGAAAATAAGATATATAGTTATATTTCTACTAAGACGTATCAAGTTGCTGTTCACACCTATCATTTTATGGAAGGATTTTTAAAAAAAAATAAAATTAGTAAAAAAGTAAGTATATTTTTATTGATTTGTTTAAAAATAAACAAAGGTTCAAAAAGGGACTTCCCCCTTCTCTCTCTCTCTCTCACTCAATATCAGGATATATTATTGTTTCATTCTCGAAGTAACCTTTACCAGTACAAGACATATTCCCCATAATGCATACAGTCAACGCTCGTTATCTCAACTTGATTGGACCAATTCAAACTTCGGTATATCCAAGGGTTTAACTGTACGAGTTGTCAGAGATCAAACATTCTAGTTGAGTATAAGTTTGTATACATCAAGAAGACACTTAAAATTGATTAACAAAGTGGAGAAGGTGGAAGCTGGGCCAAGGCATGGAGAAACCAAAAAATACCAAGTCACCTTTGAAAAACTTTGACAAAAAAAAGGTGTAGAAATTAATCAAACCTTTAAAAAACCTATTACTGGGAATGTGTGTGTGTGTGTGTGTGTGGGGGGGGGGGGGGTTATGGATATTAAGTCCTGAGTTTCTCTTTTCCACAAAAATAATTACGGATAAATTAACTGTGAAAGATTAAATTGACCATACTGCATACTCTGTGTGTGTGTGGGGGGGGGGGGGGGTGTCACTGAAAACTTCCATCCTTATTTTCTTATTATCATTATCAAAATTCTGTATATCATTTGATTATATTTGATGGACATAGTTCTTCAGAAAAGTTTTGGAAAGCTGGCAATTCTGGGGTGGTTTGAAGACCCTAAATCCCTAAATTGTTAGGTTATAGCCGTATCCGATATTCCAGAGAGCTTGAGGAAGACTACCATTTCCGAAAGTGATGCAATTACACGCAGTTTTTGTCGGGGATGAATTAACAATTGTCGATAAAAGGAGAAATTTTTTTATGTCTTATACATTACTTTATATACATGTTGACTAAATTTTACTTAATGATTTATTTATTGAAATTAAGATGACTGTAATTCTTTGTGTACAAGAGGGATCAAAACTCTGAAAAAATGCTGACATTTTATCAATTAAATGTTTTGTATAAATTTTATCCTTTATTCTGTGTTTTTTATTTTTCTGCTACGTTGAAGCAGCCTCTTCTCTTCAATTCTGTAAACTGCGTGTTGAATTGACTCACACTTTTGGGCCAAAATGCATAAATAAATAAATAAAAATAAATGAATAGATAAATAAAAATCAGCTGGAAGGACAAGGTAGCATAGAAGAAATAGATAAATCTATTGTTTTGGCATTTTTTAGCCTAATAATTCTTTTCTTTCTTATAAAAAGAGAGTTAAGATAATGAATACCCTATTCTGAAACAGTTTCTATATCAAACCATGAATTATAATACGCATGTACGATAACAAGAGAACTAAAAGGAAAAATCAAATTTAACAATTGCAGTTTCATTTCATTACCTATTTTTTTGTCGCCATGAAGTCTTTTCAAGTTTATACTGCTGAAAGGACAAAATATAAAGCAAAATCAAGCCGTATGAGAATAGGCACGAAAGTAGCAATTTCAACTCGGGAGAGGAAGGGGAGACATACAGGAATATGTCAATTAGTTCATTGAAAAAAAAGAATGAAGAAAGTTAACAGACGCTAATAAAGTATATGCTTAAAAATGCCAGTTCAACCCCCACCCCCACCCCCCACCCCCACCCCCGGGAAGGGGGTGATGAACTGGCATTTTTAAGCATATACTGGTAAGGGTCTGGAAGCTAATTCTCTTTAGAAAACGGCTACACGGTTTTATTGATTGTGTGGATACAACGTCTTTTGCATTTTACTGTGTGTGTGTGTGTGTGTGTGTGTGAGTTGGCGGGGGTGGGGGTTAATTTTATGTCATCTAATGTAAATTACAGAATCAATCAATTAAATGCCTGATGTTAAAGGAGAGAGAGGGGGATCCCGATAAATGTTTTTAAACAAAATTGCAATTAAAGTTTTAAATAATATAATGAAAACAAATACATCTATTTTTTAAGAAATTTTCCAGCGAAATGATAGACGTTTACAGCAGCTTAATACACTTTTTATTAGAAAAAAATATCATATGCTATTCTTAAATGAATGGGGCTGCTTTAAAACCAAACAAATAACGATGGAAATTATAGTAAATAGTTTAGACATCGGGATCGAGATGCCTCCCTCACCTCGATACGGATACGGATACGTATACGGATACGTCAGAAAGAACAATCTCTAGTATTACGTATCATAATTTTACTGGTGGATTGCGTTTATATGTCTCCTTATTTCTTCGCTAAGCAAGAGTATTCTTTGAGTTCGATGAATTCTTTTTAACAGAATTCTGAAAAATAAGTCGATGTTACAGTGATTTTAATGACTTTGTTTAGTCAGCATTTTGAAAATTCTTTTGTCGTTATAATGTCCGTGCTAGCAAATATAATCTATCATAGTTTGTATTCACTGACATGACTCATACCAAACAAAATTTGACTACAAATTAATTCTTCTATTTGTTCAATACATATGGCTCGCATCCAGCGTAGTCTAGGGAAGTTTACTCTTCCTAGGCACCCGATCCTATCTCTGGAGTTCCCAGTTGTTTATTTTTTTTTAGATCGATCAACAGCTTTACATTTTTTATTTAAGCAGGTGATTCTTCCCTAAACTTGTTTTCCAGGGTGACACCTACAGACGCTACGGGTCGATCCTATCAGTCTTCTTCTTGTAACCCACTTTGGCATTGTGCTATCGATAGAAGTGCAGTACTAGCTCATACCGGTACAGCCCACGAACTAGGACACAGGTAAGACAAGAAGACACTGCATTGTTTAAATTATAATTAGGGATGCTGCAATTTTTCATTCATTCAAAATAAGAAAAATATATAATGATTCAATGTCATACACATGTAGGTGATAAGATAAAAACAAAAACAAATGAAAAAGAAAACAAAAAATACTTTATTTCTGTAGGCAAGGGTGTGTTAGGATATAAGCAGTTATTCTCATTAATTGTATCAATAGTTTTTAATTTTTCTTTTCAAGGTATTAAGCCAGACGTCAGATCCAAGTCTGTAATTTGCCAATTTCATTGACACTTTATTGACAAAATGACAATTTTGTCAAAAAAAAAAAAATTTCCAAAACGAAGTAATCATATAATAAGAAAATAAGATAGGATCATTTATTATTTATTTTTGAGCCACGAGACCAAAAAAAAAGGATATCAATGTTACTGTATTTAGCATTTTACTATATCAAGTTTGTTTAAAACATAACATAATTAATTATAAAAATAATCGACGGATTTTCACTTGCTAGAAAAATTAGATTTTCAATTAAAAACATTAATACGTGTAAATTGTTAATAACAAATCATTCTTGCACTTTTTTAAATTAACATTTTTGAAATGTATAGAACAGGAAAACATTTTTTTTTTTTTTTTTTTTTTGGACTTTGAGAAAATAGCATAACGTAAAGGAGGAAATTTTAAAATTAACTATATCATTTATAGTATAGGGAGCGCGCACCATTTTTGTCCAGTAAAAATCTTTAAAAACAGTGAAGTAACGATAAAGTAAAATCAGTTTTGCTTACTCCAATGGAGAACATACATGCAAAAAATGTTTTGAACTACTCTATGTTGGTCTAACATAACATTTAAAATAC